TTTTTTTTTTTTTTTTTTTTTTTTTTGCTTTTTTGCTTCCATTTGATTCAAAAAACATTCAACCCATTTGCAAAAGTAATCGAATGCTTTAAACATATGCGTGTGTATGATGTTTTACCTGCTCTGTATCATCATGAACATAGTGCTGCTCATACAGACATCTCTCCTGCTCTAAAGTCTCACTAATGAGGCGGGCTACTTCACTCTGAGTCCCTGGCTTCTCTCTGCCAATCAGAAACCTACAAAAGAAAAACAAATTACTTTGCAGCAAAAACTTAAGAGATATTTAAGTAGTTAGTTTGCCATATTATTGCCCTCAGCAACTTTTCTGTAAAATTCTCAAGCTATAGTTTTGTATTCTCCATTAATGAAAAACAGAAGGTATTACCTGATAGAAAACAACACATACCTCACTGTGCCTTTGGTATTTTTGAGTACAGTGGCTGCAAAGAACTGAGTAACTCCCACTAGACTTATGCCATCGACTTCCACAATCTGATCATTTACTTGAATTCTGCAAAAATAAATGCTTTAGATATCAGTTCAACAAAAATATTTGACTAGATAGATTACTGACATGATAAATATCACTTAAAACTCCCTAGTAGCTAGAAACTTTGAGTACCAAGCATTCCATTGCTTAAAACTAATCTCCTGATCCTCAGTGACTATGCTGATTAGCAATTAAAAATTATATATAGTGTTTGCTTTGATATTTTTATACTACTCACACACTGAATGGATTCAGGATCACCAGCTTGATTTTCTATCACTTCTACATGTGGACATTTTCTAAAATTTTCTCAGACATCCTGCAAGAAAACCTAAGCTCCTTTTGAAAAATGTCCTATATTAAGCAAAATAACTGCATTTTTTAAAATTTAACACAAATCAGCAATACAATATTTCTTCACTTGAAGTCAGCTTTTGTAGCTTTATTCACAGTATTTGGCATATCAGATGAAAATGGCTGGGATCAGTCTGAAATGTGCAAAAACTGTAATCAATGCAGTGGAAAACTCACCGTCCATCTCTCTGAGCAGCTCCACCATCTGTTATTGTTTTTACAAAAATGCCCAGTTTTTCCAGCCCCTGATCAGCACCGACTCCCATTCCAATAATACTGATGCCCAGACCGCTGTCACCTAAGGGATTAAAATATTTAATATTAGCTGCATAATAGATGATGCAACACTAAGCAGTTCTGAGGGGCTTTGAAGTGTTTCAAGTCATTCCATGCAAAAGATAAAAATATGTACACGTTTTATACATAAATATTTAATGCATAAATATGTAAAATTAGATTTATTTTTTTTTTCCCAAAATACTTCTGAAAGGTTTTCTGTTTTGTAGTTATGGCTTCCTATTAGATTCAAAGTTTCATGGAACCTGAAAGAGAATTTGAGTTCAAAGTTTGTGAATTGCACATACTCATAATATTCATTCAGACCAGCTGCTCATTAATGTATCCTTCCTAACTTCAATTAGGTATGACAGTTTGTCCTTAATGAAGGACTGTTCAATTAAAAGTCATTACATTCAACAGAATAGCTATGCGTAAAAGCTGCAGCCTACATTCAAAAATTCAAGAACCAATTGCAGCAAAAATGCAGTTTACAATTGCTTTATCTTGTCTTCTCATAGTATCTCTAATATTCAAGGTCTGATTCACACCTTTTTCAATTTCCACAGGAAATACTTCCATTTTCTCCACCCTTTTCTCAAGTTCATATTCAGCTGAGGCTGCCACAGGGTCAACTTCTTCGTTACGTCTATCATAATCTTCATTTGAGTAAGTACTGAAAACCTAAGAAAGGTGACAAAAAAATAGCTTAAGTACTTTCTCAGCCATTTCCAAACACGATGTAATTGAAAGAAAAATCAGTAGGGAAATTAAAGCGGTATTTCTAGAGATCCCATTTTCTAAACAATTATCAATTTAATGAATACTGCTGCAATATTGTTTCCAGTTACATAAAAATAACATTACAGAAGATTCAAAACAATCACTTAAGCACTTTTTGCTTTGTAAATACAACAACTATATAAAAGAAGTCAAGGAAATCATAATCTCTTTTTGCTACAGAGTTAATTTTTTAGGACTACATTCCCCCGAATCCTTTGTTTCTCCCTTCCCCCAAACCATCTGCCAATTACAGAGCCTCCACCAGATGTAGACTTCTGATTTTGCAGGGAATCATGTAGATTCTCAAGAAAAGGAAATGCCTTGTTACATACATTACTATTTTTAGTAGTCACTCCAGCGGAATTTCTGAATTGTTAAAAGATAAATAAACAACAAAATGAATAATGAGTATTAAGACAAATCAAGGAAAGAAGGAGCGACATGCAACATGCTCAATTTCACTTATCAGCATGTTCATTAATCATATACAAAATCATAAGTGAGAGGTAAATCATATTCCCCCTCTTCAGCTATGGGAAAAACAAGGTTTTTCCACTCAAGTTTTTTGCAGGCACTGATATCCCTGCGATATTCACTGATAAACATCCCTGTGAGACAAAACCAGTTACAGACTGCAGCTTCAATCTCCCTAATCGTGAACTTGTAGTGCTGACACAAAGTTCATTTACACTGGCCTACTAATGTTTTGCAACTTCTGCATTTTCACACTCGATAGGTACCTGAAATCACGTAAGCATGACAGGATTAACTGTAATTAGATAGTACTAACATTTTGCCAGTGAATTTATATCCACTAGTATACAGTGTTAGCTCTGCATGGCAGCATATTCAGACACAGAAAAACAGATTACCAAAAAGTGACTGATAATAACTCAGAAATAACACAGGCATCCTTCCTGACGCACCTCCAGACTACAGCTGGAGAAGTGTTCACAAACTGCTGTGTGCCACAAAACATGACCATGGATTTAATGGAGCAGTTCAGCAAGCACGAGTAGATCCACTTGGTAGACAGCAGAAGAAACTCATTCTCAGAAGTCTCATTTCTTGGAAAGTTCTCTTAAAGAGGGAAATGAGTCTTCCTAAATCTTGTATACAGGTAAATAAACCAACAAACTCCTCCAGACACTAGAGGGCAACAACTGGCAACAGATAGACAATGGTTGCACTGAGGGTCTCCCTATTCTATAATCTTTACAGAAAAAACGCAATATAGACAAATAAAGCCATCCAAGAAGCTTTATTTTACCAGTGACAGAAAGAAGTTGATAGGACTTCTTTGAATTAGTTTACCCCTAGCTGCCCAGATCAGTAAACAGTAGAAGCATTTGGATTTAATGGAGCACAGTTTTCCTTTGGAGCAAGGCCTGTCTACTTTGGTTCCTTTACCAATCCCTTCTCCCCTACTCCTCCCCCCCCCCAACAAATACATAAATAAAAATCAATGTCTCTAGTAGTAGTAAGAGAGATTCCACAGTAATCAATGAAAAATGAATAGTAAAAGCAAAAAAGGAAGATGACAGTAATTATTTGGGAGACACTGACCATCTTTTTTTTTTATTAATTATTCTCTCACACACAGAGCACACGATGGTGCATGCAGTCACCAGCAAAGGGAAGACCACTGCCTGCAGCAACAGCCACCAGGTGCTGGAGATTCAGGGGGAATAAAGTTACACCACCACCAAAAACTGAATGACATACATTCATGCTTTGGGCCGCCCATCTGGAAGTTTTAAAAATTATGAAATATTTTTCCAACTCAAAAGTAATAGCTTTGTACTTGAGTGTCTCGTGGAATTTGCCCAAGTTGATTCAAACCTGATGCACTGTAAGAACTCATCACCTGATGGGAATGGATCATAGAATTTAAAAGTAGGTTTGAGTTAAATTTGCCATTGTTATACATAGTATAATAATGGCACAAACATGCAAATGCAGATGAAGACTACTAACACTTCCCCACAACAGCTCCTTGAGGAAAAACCTATCTGAAATCAATTGTGACTGATCTATTAAGAGAGAAAATCATACTTGTCTCTTAAAATGACAGATGGGAACTATGCATGACCACTTAAATAACATTCTAAAAATCATAAACCCAATTAAGAGAAGACAGAGCTGTTTTTAAAAAGTAATGAGAACTGTATTCAGAGAAATCATTTTGAGGGAAAACATGAATTTATAAATAGAAGAATAGCAATACCAGTGACATACAACTGGAAGACAAATGTGGCAGCAACAAGAAGAAAAGCAAGAGCACACTAAAAAAACCCATAGCCAAAGGCAAAAGGCAGACGTTTTTACCGTGTACGTGAGGAATCATAAATGGGATTTACCTCTTAGCAGACCAAATGGTTAAGTTGTTGACATCAATGTAAAAAGCACAGAACTGTTTGGTGAGTTTTCTGCCAAGCAGCAGAAGCAGTACTAAACACAGTTAAAATGTAGATAATAAGTAACATAAATTACAAGTTACAGAGTATAGAAGATTGATGAGAAAGCTAAACACAGTTCACCCCTGCACTGTGTCTGGCAGGATTTAGTCACTGAATCAAACACATTAGGAACAAAAGAAATTCTAATCTTACTATTTTAAAGGCACTGCAAGCTGGAGACAAAAAGATTATGAGTGAGAAAGAAAATAACAAGACAAAAAAAAAAAAAAAAAAAAAAACAAACCCACAACAGTACTTCTTTTAAATATTTTTTTTTCTTTTAAAAGCCAAGATGATGATAATCATGTCAAATGTATTCTGGGCTACTAATAAGCTAACCATTATTAAAAAAAACACCCCAAAACACTACTGAAAACAAGTATATAACAAAGTGTAGATAGCATGTGTTTACCTTCCTTAGTGCTGCTGGACTGCATAAATATTTAACTTCCAACATACCCTCAAATAGCATGGCAATTCCCAAGAACAAGTTCATCTTCAAAAAGAATGAGCAGCACTGAGGACTCTGACATGAAACTATCTGCCCAAGCTGGTATTAAACATTATTACTAAAGAACAAAAGACAGGAATTACGTAAAACTCAATCGAGATTTTAACAGCAGTTAATCAAACAATTCTGGTGTACATTTTACAACATTACAGGTTATAACGATAATCACAGGTTGGTAAGCTGGCTGTTTGTAACACACACTGCCCCAGGCTGCTTTGATGATGTTACCCAGTTCTGGCTGGCAGCCACACCAGCACGTACTTACTGACAGCTACCTGCAGACTGCATGAACTTCCATTTCTTGAGGTTGACAGAAAGGGTTGGAAGGGACCTCTGGAGGTTATACTGACCAACCTCCCAGCTCTAGCATGGCCAACTGATCGTGTGCTCAACTCATTTCTAACAGAGGTGCTTAAGCAAACACAAGTTATTGTCTCAACACCATAGAAAACCAAGTGAATTTGAAAGTCTTTTATCTTGTTACATCTCCAGAAGGTTAACTAGTTAATCTACCATTGGTACCTTCTGGACCCAGTAAAGCTAATGAACAGCAGAAAGAAAGCTGATCTGAAAGAAATAATTTCTTTTACACTCAAGTCCTCTTTTCTTCAGAATGAATAAAAATAATTTGAATCCAAATAAGTTCTCAGAAAATGCTGAATTTTTAAGGACTATTTTAATTAAACTGCAAAGACACATACCTGGAAATTTTCAAACTTATACTTAGTCCTTGAAGAACAAATTTTTTTTTTTTTTTTTTTTTTTTTAAGAACAAATTGCATTTATTACACCAGGAAAATGAATCACTTCTGGAATGCAAAACTCAGTTAATCTCTGGCTAAAAGATGCTACATTCAGTTAGTGCTACTATACAAAACTGAAAATCTCCATCATAATGCTGTCACAGGAAACAGTATTATCACAGAAAAACAACAATAATCTCACAATTCAAAGTCTTAGAAGTGCTTATGAAGTCCTCCTCATAAACTACACACATTTTAGCAGGATGGTATTTCTTTAAGAAGGAAAACTCATGAGGAAGATTTGCTTGCACAGATCTTTGCTGTCAAGTCACAGAACAGAGCTCCACACCTATATTCATTTCTAGTAGAAAGATTTGTTTCTGCACAAACAAAAGCACAATGTTACGCACACAATTAAACAGTAAAAATCAACAACTGCCTCAAAGGGTTCCCAACTCATCAGAATGGAAGCAATTTCAACATCACTTTTAAATTCTAATGCAGTAATATTTGTGGGGAAGCACAACCTACAAAAGCAGTTAAAGTAACACTTAATGAGTTGGGAGAGAGGCACTGTAGTGTTACTGACACCTGCACCTTGAAACCTTGCCAAGCAGTTGGTTCCTATGTCCTCTGAAATACGATTCTTACATTGACCATTCAAGTTTATAGACACTCAATAAAGCCACACAATCAAAATTCAAGTTACGGTTTCAAGAAAATTGCCTAATGATGAACAGTTTCAGCTTTTTCAATGGATGGCCTTTGCAAGACGCCTGGCAAGACCTGAAGTACCCAGGCAAGCATGAATAATCATTTGAAACAGTAGCACTGAAGCAGGCCGAAGTATACCTACACTTAGCAGTTTACTCTTACAGTCTCCCTCTCCGTTTGGAGTAGACATCACATTACCACTACATTATTCCCTCTGTTTCTAAATGCTAGAAGGTTACCTCTTTTTGGCCGTTATTTCAGTGATGAGTGACTATCTGTTTCAAATCACTTCATGCTACCGGATGCTGTGAATCAGAAAACAGAGACACCTGGTCTGTTTTCCGGTTTTATTGATAAACAAATAACACACCAAATTCAGGTTTGATTCAGAACAGTTGGTAACTGTTATATGGGCTGACACTGCAAATCATTCCATTCACTGTAGCATTTCCTGTTGCCAAACAGGAGGGTTGT